CAGCGAACGCTGGGCGAATACCATGACGTGCGCGATCGCAAAGTCCTTTTGGCCGAGGGTGGACCGGGGGCGGTCGAGGACACTCCTCATACTCACAAAGCCACATCTATCACTTCTGATGGGGGTTTTAACGGGTCACTGTCCTATCGGTGTTCACGCAGTAAGGCTAAACATTCTACCGGACCATTTGTGTCGCTGTTGCCTGAAAGAGGACGAGGTAGAATCACCTCATCACTACCTTTTTAGGTGCCCAGCGTTTGCGAGGCTAAGGTTGAAGTACTTGGCTCTCACTTTCTAAACAGCCCCCAGGAGCTCTCGGGCATTGAGATCAGCTGTATTAGTAAATACATAATCGGCTCGGAGCGTTTTAACGATAAAGTTTAGAGAGCCTTTTCCAAATTGTGGTATCACAAAGGACAATCTTACATTGTCTAAGTGAGCTCAGGTTACGCGGGGCTGCCACCTTACCTAACCCAACCTTTATATCTTATTTATTTTTCAAATAATATTTATATAGGTGAAATCATCGTAAAAAGTACTATCAATCTGCAATTTCAGTTTTTCGTTGTCAAAGACTGCTTTTTTTGACATTCCCTTTTGTTTGTTTACATTTTTGTTGATGCCTCTTAGGGCTCAGTGACATCAACAGAAGTTGCCTGCGTTTCATTAATGTCAAATTCAACAAGCGAAGTTTGCTGCGATGAAGGCAGTGGCAGTGAACTTAGAATTTGGGCTAAACTGAGCAGTACTGCTAGCTGCCACTGCTGTATTGTGATTCGCCTCATTGGACACCACACTTTCTAAAAAACAGCTGATTTCGAAAAACTGCCGCTGCCACTGCCACTGCGTTATTGTATTTTGGGCTTTACTTGTTCCAAGGTAAACAAAGCCGAATAGAATGGCGAAAGAAACTGTTGTTGTTGTTGTTGTTGTAGCGGCACTACTAAGCCCCGCTTTTTTCGGGTCTACATTCAATCATTTTCGTCAAGCTCAACTAACGGGAGGCCCAGGAAACGAGCTGTTTCAATGGGTTCGGACCAGAGGGAGAGGGGTGTTAGCTGAGTCGGATTGAGCTGGCATGTAAAGAGGTGGTTGGTGTCGTGAGGGGATTCTCCACATGCCGGGCACTCATTGGGGATATTGGAGTCGAGTCTGGACAGGTAGCTGTTTAGCCGGCTACAGTATCCAGACCGTAATTGAGCCAGGGTAACGCGGGTCTCTATTGGCAATTGCAGCTCCGTCTCTTCTACAGGTGGTGATTGGGCTCCTATTACGGCATTCATAGGTCGAGAGTCGAGGTAGGTGGTAACTGACTCTCTATGGATGTCGTTGATGGCTCGTCTGTATGTCATCGGGTCCAGTGGTTGGTCTACGTATTGTTGGACTGCGTCCTTGTATACGAATAGGTGCCCCCTGACGTGCCTGGGCGGAGGCTCCTCCTGAAGCAAAGGTCTGTTTGGGTGTTCACTTCTGTAACACCCCTGTGACAGAAATTGCTTACAAAGCATTTTATTGTGTTCCCTTACGGGGAGCACTTGGGCCTCGCTATGTAGGTGGTGCTCAGGCGTCATCAGAAGGCACCCAGTTGCTGTCCGGAGTGCGGCGTTCTGACAAGTCTGTAGCTTCGTCCACTGCGTCCAACTAGTCCCCGGCGTCCAAACTGGCGCAGCATAGTTTAGAACCGGCCGGCCAATTGCCTTGTATGTTGCCAGCAACGTTTCTTTGTCTTTGCCCCAAGTGCTGCCGGCGAGCGACTTGAGAACCTTGTTGCGGCTCTGTACTTTATTGACAACTGCGGTTGTGTGCGTGGAGTAGGGGAGCAGGCTAACGAAGGTGATCCCTAAAATTTTCGGGTTGTTTACAGTTGGTATTTGTATCGACGGGTATACCTAATTCTAGCCTGACCTCCTTCGTCCAGGTGGTGAAGAGGGTCGCCGTTGATTTCGTTGGGGAGAGTGTTAGGCTCCTTGCAGTGAAGAAGCGAGTAAAGCTGGAGAGATAGTCGTTTACTTTTGAGCAGAGGTCATCAATTCTATTCCCGGACGCCAATATCGAGCAATCGTCAGCATTTGAGATTAGGGAAACTCAGTGAGGTAGTTGAGGAAGCTTCGAGATGTAGAAGTTAAATAGTAAGGGGGGAGAGAACACCAACTTGTGGAACCCCTTGTTTAATCCTTCTTGGTTTCGAGGTTTGATCTCGGAAGATTACTGACAACTGTCGACCACTCATATAATTCGCCGACCATCGCTTCAGTCCCTGTGGGAAGGGCGGCGAAGCTGCTCTCGGTAAGTTCCGCGAAGCCGTCCCAATCAGCTTTGTTGAAGTTGGTGTAGGTTCGGTGGTCCGCGAGAGCAAAGTCGGTGGGCTTATTGATCGAAATGATTATGGGTAGATGGTCTGATGCTAGTGTTAGCATAGGTCGCCATGAAATGCTATTGATCAAATCAGCGCTAGCAAGTGTGAGGTCTGGCGAGCTGCTGCAGCTACCCATAATCCTGGTGGGGGCGTCGTCGTTCATGGTGCAGAATGTCGAATCGTCTATCTGCTCAGCCAAAAGGTTTCCCCTACGATCATTTTCCAGGCTTGAGTGCAAGAAATCGTGGTGCGCGTTGAGGTCACCTACTACCATTCGGTTTTCACCTCTGAGCAGTGTACGAAAATAAACTATATTGTACGTTACTATTTCCTTTTGTTTATTACTTCAACAGTTCGGTACAATACGAAAACAAAACGGCTGAGTTCACTTTGGCGATAGTACACTACAGTAGTTTAGTAGTTACAGACGAAACAACAAACGGAATGAACCGTGCAGAGAAAAATATATGTATGTATGTACATATATGCAATAACTAAATACAAAACGAATGGCTGCAATGAATAAAAAAAAATTAAAATGTTTTTTAACTGAATTGGATATGAAAATTGACAGAAAAAAATATTTTTCACGTAATTAAAACGTTTGCATACATATAAAACGTACAATATGGTACAATTGTCACAAACGAAAAGCAAACGTTTCTCGTTGGGGAAAATGACAGTGAATCTTAGAATTTGTTTCTGACTATGTACAAAATTGTACAAAACCACAAATGATATGATGATCTGTGAGCAAATGGGAATTGTTTTGTACAGTTTATTTTCGTACCCTGCCTCTGAGTAGCGCACCTATGTCAGGGTAATATCCTGCCGGGCAGAAGGTGACAGGGGGTATATAGACGTTGAATATTTCGAGCTCGACATCGCCTGACCGGACAGCTATGCCCTGACATTCTAGAGAGGTGTCCCTCGGGTCGATGTCTTCTTCGATAAGCCGATACTGCACTGTGTGTTGTAGGATGAACGCTAGTCCGCCATCATTATCTCGCTCGCGATCTTTACAGCGCACATTGTAGGCGGCGCAACCCAACAGAGTTGAGTTGCTGTGCAACTTCGGGAGGTTTGCTGCTGCCCAGAGGAGCTTCTCGGAGCCGTGCAGGCTCTTTGGGTGTTGGGAGCGTTGCGCGAGCGGGTAGCCGTGGAGGCTGATTGTGCCGTTTGGTTTGAGCAGCAGGGAGCCACATAGCTTGTGGTCCACTCCCGATGGACCTAAGACCAGAGCAGGTTCTTAGGTGACTCCATCCGTTGCATGAATTGCACCTAACCGAAGTGGAGTTTGGATGGAGTCGATTCTGGCAAAAACAGCAGAAATACGTTTCTGGTCCGGGGTTGGGCTCTACGCCCGCCCGGAGAAGAAGGATGTGGAGCAATCCGGCTGCAAGGAGTTGCTCCATGGACGAACAATGATTGAGGGGTATCGCCGATCTAAGCGGGGTTAAGTCGCCGAAACAACAGCCCTTGGTCGGGGAAAACCCGAGTCATTCCGGTACGTAGAACCGGCTGTCTTGGGAATGTGAAAGAAACTGTCGGAAGGGTCTTTGTACATGATGCAATAATACAAGGTGTTATCGGTTGGCAGCTTCTCGCTCTAATTCCGCCATATTGACTGCCTTAGCTAAAACAGTGTTAGTTCTTTAATTATTCCTTGCCTAATAATATATTTTAATATCTTTTTTTTTTACTCAGTATACACATTTTTTTCATAAAAAGGTATTTTATCTTATTTTATTTCATTTGATTACGAATATACTATAAGCAAACAACTTTTGTTTAGAAGAATATATGAAATTTGGAACAAATGCAGTTGGGATCCAAATCTCAAAAAAAAATAAATTATTGGAATCGATAGAGATGATTGAGCTGAGTATAACGGTACACTTCTTTTTTTGGGCAAAGAACAACAACAAAAATTATCAAAGGTTAGAGTTCAAAATAGCAATTATTGAAATCCAGATTTCTTAAAATCGGATACAAGGATCTTGAAAATTTTGACCTCATTTAATAGGAAATTTGATTCCCTTTATTTGGGTATACTTACTTTATATATACGTTCTATAGTTCTTACAAAAATTGAATTAATGTAAAATAATTATAAAAAAAAATATCTTTTGCAGAGAACACCTTCCTTCTTAGGGATTATAACCCTCACAACGTAGATTTATGTTTCTGTGTTGCTAAGAAAAGGCACTGAACACCTTTCGCAGAGAGCACCTTTCTGCGTAGGCGGCGTCGGCCGCACTTAGGGTTTGTAAGCTTTTTTTTTATAACTATTTTACATTAATTAAATTTTTGTAAGAACTATACAACATATATATACAGTAAATCAAATTATTTTAACACGTACTCTTATGTAGATAATTATTTTGGCGA